TTCTTCGATTCTAATAGTTTTTCTCTTCTCGCACTTCTCACCTGTGGAAGTCCCTTCCGATTTCTTGCTTCCCTGCCATTGTAGAAATCTTCCATTGATTGTAGGAATCTTCAAAAATTTAAACGTAACTTCAACTGCAATCGATTGTCTTCCTGAATCCTATTTTTATTGTCCTTTTACTAACTTCTCCTCACTAAAGTCTTCTCATTCTTTTTCACTCCCAGTAACCCTTGCATCTCACTGGCATTATTGTCGCGCTTGGGATGAAATGATTTTGGTTTAATCATATATATATATATATATATATATATATATATATATATATGCATGTTTCATTAAAAAAAAAAAAGGTACTACGATAAAGCTTTTTATTCATTTTTTTCTTGTGTTCACACAAGTGCTTTCTTTTTTGAACACAGAGCGTGTAGAAAAATTACAACGAACGAATATTACCTATAAGTTCAAATGTCCCTTAAGGAAGTGTTCCTGATCAAACCGAGCTCATCAAAATAATTACATCGGTCATATAACTACATGCCTATCCAGACGCCTTACCATACAGCGAACTGACTCTATTAAAACCCATTTAAACACACACACAAACCTATCAGACTCCATTCGAAACATACTAGTAGAAAACACAAACATAATAACCCCATCAACCTGTATAAAAAGATTAAAGATAATGGTGTTAGACATTTTCATGACGGTCGTCTTCGAGTATAGAATCCAGAGGTTGGCAGTGAATATTTCGGAGACAGTAGGAAAGCGTAGTTCAGGTTCGCAGTGGATATCGTAGCAAAGTAGCAGAGCGTAGTTCTTCCGTCTGTCCTGTTCGCCGGACAAGTTGCCTCTGGTCATTCCAGTAAGAAAACAAAGATGGCCGCCTTTATACACGACGGATACAGTGTTGTGCAGCTTCTGATTGGTCAACCTCCTATTGGTCGACTATAAAGGGAAATAAATCATTTTGACTTACTCACTAGTTATGTACAGTATATACCAAAAAAACTGTAACAAATGGAAGCCCTAATAATAAAAATGGAAAACCCAACTCTTAACAATATTAACTATGTTGTGTATGATACACCTAATTTACAAAGGACTACACCATATAAATATGGGTTGGTACCGGAAGACAGGGAAGATAGTAGAGATTAAGAAATTGAATCCAGAGACTCTGCCCGACTGCGATTTAGTCAACCCATTATGCAGAAAAGTCTTCCCAAAATATACCAAAACTAACTGACAATATTGTGTAATTCTTTGTTTCAATACATTTTGTTAACATTTTGTGTTGTATTATTCCATGCTTATTTAAGCTTCAACAAACTACGAACAAGGTCACAATGTGCTAACCGTGTTCGGAAAATAAAAAAATCTCTATGACACTAAAAGCATACACATAATACAAACACTCAATTAATATATATATATATATATATATATATATTTCAAACGTTATTATTGTGGATACTCATATTTCAAATATACTTTTTTTTACTTTAAACAGTTTACCTGCATATCTTTTTAAAAATGTGCTCTACGGCTGTCCTCTTTATTTATTAAGATTTCCCAAATACGCAAGCCGATAGACGTATTACATACTGTTTGAAGTAAATATAAAAATGGGAAATCTATTTCGAATATGAGTATCCATTAAAAATGTTTGTAGTTTTATAAAAGATGTCGGATTATAAATAAATCAATTCTTTAAAAATTGCTTTGTTTACGATTCGGATATGCAACTGGGCAGATTCTTTCCGAGAATAATATTTGAATACAGAAATATGCTTTCCTTAAAATGGAAAATAGAGCCTTGTTGAACAGTGAGGCTCTCTGTAGCCGAACGGTAAAGCACACCACATCAAAACGTAATTTCTCTTACAAAGGATGACGCATTTTTTCCCTATCGGGGGGGACATTTTTTTTTAAAGATTTCTCAAATGTGCAGGCCGATAAAAGTATTACACACTGTTTAAAATAAAAATAGAATAGAGGCGTCTATTTCAGATACGAGTATCCATTAATAATAACAACTGAAGTAATATATATATATATATATATATATATATATATATATATATATATATATCAAATCACCATCGGTTATAATTCGTAGACATAATATACGTAAAAAATTCTTCCTTACATATATGCCGAAAATGGTGTTGACATAATAAATACAGAAAACATTCTACATGCGTCTTATCTTTCCCTCCTTTTCCCACCTTAACAAAAATACGTTTTGCTTCTTCCTATCCCCAACCAGAAACTGCCATTATGGACAATACGATACCACTACCACCTCTCCAAACACCGAAGTCGACAAACCTAAGTGTCACATGACCACGGCCGGAGCAATCTATTGGCCGACGATATTCCATCTTTTAAAATCATAAATTTTTTTTTCTTACTCCCTCTTTTCCCTTGTCGTTCTCTCGCTTCCACACTTTGTACATTGGTTAATTTTCTGCCTTTTCTATCTTTCTTTTCCTCTCCTGGCCACATATTTGCATTTGATTTTTCCATTTTCTTTCATTTTTCCTTCTCTCAAATGCTGGTTCGTCTAACTTGCCTAAATAAAAGTCGAAATAATTCTTTTTTCTTTTTGATTCTTTTTTTTTTCTTATTTTATCCATTGTTTGGGTGTTTAATCCTCCGTTCACTAATGTTTCCGTTGGCTACAATGGAGAAATGTCATCTCGCTAGAATAACGTGATTGTAGCCTAGCCTCATCGCATTTGGGGGTTTTAAAAAAAAAAGTAGAAACAGAAAGAAAAAGGAAACGATATGAAAATGAAAATAGAAGGTCCGTTTGAATGGAGCTTGCTTCTAATGTTTTATTAGGGTAATTTGTGTATGAAATTTCAAATTGAAAAGATGAATAACTCTCTCTTCCCCTTTTCTATATTGCTTTTTCTCTTGTTCTTTCTCATTCTCTTTCTCTCTTACTCTCTCTCTTTCTCTTTCTCTTTCTCTATCCCACAATGCGTCTTGTTCCCCGTTTATACTTTCTTATCACCCGACTTTTGACAACAACCCTGAACGATGAATGACAGAACAGGCAGTTACAGTAATAACAGCCGTAGAAACAGCATCGTACGTATGTTGGTATGTTTGTATGTAGTGATAAATGGATCTGTGTATTGTCTGTATTTGAGAAAGTGCAAATGAGGCTCGTGTGTGTGTCTGTGTGTGTCTGTGTGTGTGAGCGGATGCACGGCTTTACGTGTGCAAATTGCGTCGAGATAATCTTCAAATGAGAATATATAGGATTATTTCAAAGAAAAAAAAAGAGAGAAAATAGAAGATATGAACGCAGGCGCTGACGAGAGAAGGAAAGGGAATACATTTGGAGATTAAGAAAGAAAGAAAGAAAAAAAAAGGAAAGAAAGAAAGAAAGAAACAAACAAAGTAAGAAAGAAAGAAAGAAGGAAATATACAAGGTCGAAAATCAAAACGGACACAAATGAAAAGATTAAATTTGGAAGTGAAAAAATAAGGAATGATGTCCGAGAAAAAAAGATGAATATATGATGATGGAAAATCTTTGAGAAGAAGAAGAAGAAGAAGAAGAAGAAGAAGAAAAAGGAGGAGGAGAAGGAGAAAGAAGAAGAAGAGGAGAAGGAAGAGGAGGATGGAAAGACGCGATATATATAGAAAGAGAAGAAAATCTCTGAGAAGTAAAAGAAGGTGAAAGAATACGAGGAGGAGGGAGGAGAAGAGGAAGAGCAGGAGGGAAAGAAGCGATAGATATTTAAAGAAAAAGAAGAAGAAGAAGAAGGAGGAGGAGGAGAAGGAGGAATTGGAGGATGGTAAGAAGCGATAGTTATTTAGAAAAAGAGACATGAGGAGACAGAGGAAAGAGATAGATAGATAGATAGATAGATAGATAGATAGATAGATAGATAGAGAAGAAGAAGAAGAAGAAGAAGAAGAAGAAGAAGAAGAAGAAATTAAAAGAGGGTAGATAAGAAATTAAAAGATAGAAAGAGGAAGAGACGGAATGAATTAAGAGATTAAAATTGTTAAAAAGACGAAAAGGCAAAGGAAGTGAAAGCGATCGAATCAAATCTAATGACCATGAAGTTGTGGAAGCAGAATTCGAAGAAAATTCTTCGAAATAAAATAAAATAATATCAAAAAAGGTAATATAAGGTCAGGAGGAACCGAACACAGCAGTCTGTCCTACACTAAATGACCTACTCTGCTTACAAATGCACGAAGTAGAGGCATAAACATTATTGATTTTTGAAAATACTGCCGGAGATACGAGTAAAAGATAAAATAAAAAAAAAATAATGACAAAAAACTGTCCACAGGAATGCAAACCATTCGTAGACCTCTGTATGGGCTCCTCACCACAACTCACTACATCTCCTCTCTCTCTCTCTCTCTCTCTCTCTCTCTCTCCCTATCTTTTTCTCTCTCTTGCTATCTGTTCAACTCCCTCTCTTTTTCATTAATCCCTCTCCCTTCTGACCCTCTCATTTTAAGCGTCTCTCTACGACCGTCCTTTTCCGTTCACGCCCAATCATTACGTACATAGCAGCCTCTGTCGGCCCTCACTTCTGTCATTATACATACATACATACATACATACATAAATATATATATATATATATATATATATATATATATATATAGAGAGAGAGAGAGAGAGAGAGAGAGAGAGACATAGATCATTTACTGGGCGTTTATTTAGTTTAGATATTCATCTAATAAATTCCTTTCTTCTTTTATTCTTATCAAACCGCTTCCCTTCCATTTCCAGCTCCATTCTTTCTTTTTCTTCAAAATCCTTAAATTTTCCCTAATTTACTGATTCTCTTCTCTCTCTCTCTCTCTTTCCTTTTGTCATTCCTTTTCCAAATTCATTCTCTTTCCTCTCTTCTTATCTCCCTCTCTCTCTCTCTCTCTTCTCATATGTCATTCCTTTTCGACTTTCATTCTCTTCTTTCTTTCTTTTTTCGTTCTCTATATCCGCATTCTTTTTTATGTTTGTTCTTTTCCACATTCATTCATTTTTTTTCTTTCTCTCTCTCACTCTCTTTTTCCTTTCTTCCATAAGTTCTTTTCCCTATTCATTGTCTTTTTCTTTTTCGTTTCCCTTCTGCCTCTCTCTCTCTCTCTCTCTCTCTCTTTCTTTCTGCCTCTTTTCTACCAGAAGTCCATTCCTCAGTCCTTTTCTTCTCTCTCATTCTCTGTCACTCTTTTCCTCATTTTTTCGTAGGTCTTTTTCCCTTTCGTTCTCTCTCTTTCTCTCTTTCTACCTCCCTCTCTCTCTCTCTCTCTCTCTCTCTCTCTCTGCCTATTTTCTACCAGAAGTCCATTCCTCAGTCCTTTTCTTCTCTCTCATTCTCTGTCACTCTTTTCCTCATTTTTTCGTAGGTCTTTTTCCCTTTCGTTCTCTCTCTTTCTCTTTCTACCTCCCTCTCTCTCTCTCTCTCTCTCTCTCTCTTTCTGCCTCTTTTCTACCAGAAGTCCATTCCTCGGTCCTTTTCTTCTCTCTCATTCTCTGTCACTCTTTTACTCATTTTTTTCGTAGGTCTTTTCCCTTTCGTTCTCTCTCTTTCTCTCTTTCTACCTCCTCTCTCTCTCTCTCTCTCTCTCTCTGCCTCTTTTCTACCAGAAGTCCATTCCTCAGTCCTTTTCTTCTCTCTCATTCTCTGTCACTCTTTTCCTCATTTTTTTCGTAGGTCTTTTTTCCCTTTCGTTCTCTCTCTTTCTCTCTTTTCTACCTCCCCTCTCTCTCTCTCTCTCTCTCTCTCTGCCTATTTTCTACCAGAAGTCCATTCCTCAGTCCTTTTCTTCTCTCTCATTCTCTGTCCTCTTTTCCTCATTTTTTTCGTAGGTCTTTTTCCCTTTCGTTCTCTCTCTTTCTCTTTTCTACCTCCCTCTCTCTCTCTCTCTCTCTCTCTCTCTCTTTCTTTTCTCTTTTCACCAGAAGTCCATTCCTCAGTCCTTTTCTTCTCTCTCATTCTCTGTCACTCTTTTACTCATTTTTTCGTAGGTCTTTTTCCCTTTCGTTCTCTCTCTTTCTCTCTTTCTACCTCCCTCTCTCTCTCTCTCTCTCTCTCTCTCTCTCTCTCTCTTTCTGCCTCTTTTCTACCAGAAGTCCATTCCTCGGTCCTTTTCTTCTCTCTCATTCTCTGTCACTCTTTTACTCATTTTTTCGTAGGTCTTTTCCCTTTCGTTCTCTCTCTTTCTCTCTTTCTACCTCCCTCCCTCTCTCTCTTCTTTTATTCCGTCGGTCTAATTTACTCATTTTTTCCAAAGGGAAATGACTTCCTTCTTTTATTTTCTGTTCTTTCGCTTGACGTCTCTTTTCCTCTCTCACTACATTTTGAAAAGATGTTCTCTGAAACTTTTACCATTCTTTTCCGTTCTAAGAACGTTGCATACTTTTTGAGAAAAAAAATTCAGAAAGAGAAAAAGGGGAAAGGAACCTTGAAAATAAAAATTCGAAAAGAAGACGGGTTTTAATGAAATTGGCCAGTTTAAGAGAAAAAAGAAGAAAGAAATTAAAGAAGAGTAGAAAATAAAGGAAGGAAGGAAGGAAGGAAGGAAGGAAGGAAGGAAGGAAGGACATTTCAAAGAAAATAATATGGCGGCAGAAATAATGAATATGAAGGAAGTGTAAAGGTGAGAAAGAATGAAAAAGAAAGAAATAAAAAGAAAGAAAGAAAGAAAGAAGGAGAACGATAAAGAGGAAGGAGAGGGAGATAGTGAAAAAGAAGACAGAATTAAGAGAGTAGGGAGAGAAGAAGAAGAAGAAGAAGAAGAAGAAGAAGTTTAAACTGCGATGACAGACCGAAGGAAGAAAAAATGAAAGAAGGAAAGTTGATGAACTGAACTGGAAAGAAAGAAAGAAAGAAAGAAAGAAAGAAAGAAAGAAAAAGACAACAAAGAAGAAGAAAGATAAAGACGAAAATGAGGAGAAAGAGAAAGGTAGTGAAAAAGAGGACAGAAATAACGAAGCAGGGAAAGAAGATAGATAGATAGATAGATAGATAGATAGATAGATAGATAGATAGATAGATAATGAAGACTGAGATAGATAGATAGATAGATAGATAGATAGATAGATAGATAAAAACAGAATGAGATAGATAGATAGATAGATAGATAGATAGATAGATAGATAGATAGATAATGAAGACTGAGATAGATAGATAGATAGATAGATAGATAAAAACAGAATGAGATAGATAGATAGATAGATAGATAGATAGATAGATAGATAGATAGATAGATAATGAAGACTGAGATAGATAGATAGATAGATAGATAGATAGATAGATAGATAAAACAGAATGAGAAAATAGATAGATAGATAGATAGATAGATAGATAGATAGACTGAGATAGATAGATAATAATAGATATGATAGATAAAAACAGAATGAGATAGATGAATGGATAGATAGATAGATAGATAGATAGATAAAAACAGAATGAGATAGATAGATAGATAGATAGATAGATGAATAGATAGATAGATAGATAATGGATAGATAGATATGATAGATAAAAACAGAATGAGATAGATAGATAGATAGATAGATAGATAGATAGATAATGAAGACTGAGATAGATAGATAGATAGATAGATAGATAGATAGATAGATAAAAACAGAATGAGATAGATAGATAGATAGATAGATGATAGAGATAATGAAGACTGAGATAGATAGATAGATAGATAGATAGATAGATAGATAGATAGATAATGAAGACTGAGATAGATAGATAGATAGATAGATAGATAGATAGATAGATAGATAGATAGATAGAACAAAACAGATGAGATAGATAGATAGATAGATAGATAGATAGATGGATGATAGATAGATAAAAAAAACAGAATGAGATAGATAGATGAATAGATAGATAGATAGATAGATAGATAGATAGATAAAAACAGAATGAGATAGATAGATAGATAGATAGATAGATAGATAGATAGATAATGAAGACTGAGATAGATAGATAGATAGATAGATAGATAGATAGATAGATAGATAGATAGATAATGAAGACTGAGATAGATAGATAGATAGATAGATAGATAGATAGATAGATAGATAGATACTGGAAATATATGAGATATTAATGAAGAAAATGAAGAAAAGTATTGTTCAGGAATGCAAAAGAAAGTGTGAAGAAAAATATCTTTTTAAAAAGATGAATTCTTTTTAAAAATTCTTCTTTTTTTTTCTTTCAATATTGCTTTTATTTCTTTCTTGAAAGCTTTGAGGCAGACATGTTGACACATCCGACACGTACTGCTGTGTTGGTGATGCTGGCCTAAAAGGACATTAACCTTACTGGCTTTCCAGTATAACCGACCATTGGGTTTGGCAAAGACTACTGCTGGATCTGACATTCACTCTACCAAGAAATGCGATTCCTTGCTCTCCTGAAAACGGTGCAGGGCGCCATCTTTGAATTTAAATTTTTTTTAATTATTTTTCTGAATTTTCCGTTTTTATTTTTTTTTTTATAGTTGTCGGGAGAGGTGGATGGCCATGTAGATGAATGGGGTTTGGGTTGTACCGAAGCAGTGTCATATGTTACGCGCAGCTCCCTCGAGTGAATCAGGTGGCTCTAAAAATGTATATGCATCCATTTTTTATTTATTCCCTTGATGCCAACGTCAACTTTGTCATTGAGATTATTTTCCCTTCTTTTTACTTCATCGCCATCTTATCTTTCTAACGTTTACTCTTCTTCTTCATTTCTTTCTTCCTCACTCAGCATAATCTTTTCGTTGTTTCTTTTTCTTTTTTTAGCTTTTATTTTCGACCCTTTAATTTGTATATTCTCGTTTTTAATTCGATATTCGTCGTCCTTTTCTATAACTTCTTTCAGTATATTTTTTTTATAATTTTCTTCGCCTTTTTATTCGAATTCAAGAAAATTTCTTTTTCTTCCTTGCTTTCTCGTTTGACTCATTATCCAAGCAATATCACTATTTCTTTTCTTTTTTTTTATCAATTTCAAATATTACGTTCTATGTTCACCATCCCATTCAAAATTGGAGTGTTAAAAATAAAAAAAATAAAATCCCTCCAAGAGAAACTTAGAACAAGCAACTCTCTCTTTCTCACTTTCTAAAAGACATTTTGACAACACTCTGCCTCTTTCTGTCACAATTTCTTCTTCTTCTTCTAACTTGTTCCCCCCCCCCCACTAAGTTATTTCATTTTCGAAAAGAACAACCATTTGTTCCTTATTTTTAACCAATCAAATGCCTTCACTTATTTGGAGTTACCAGATGGCTTATCGCAAACAATTTAATCGTCTGCTTCAATGAATTTTTGTCGATTTCATGATTTTAATCAATAACCGACTTGATTGTCGCTTTAAACAGTTTAAAAACTCGGAAGTAAAAATAAGAAAAATGCTTTTTCATTTATACTTACGAACATCAGACAACATAGATATGCACTGGCAGACGTATACATGCAATTATGCACTTATTTATTACACACACACACACGCATATATATATATATATATATATATATATATATATATATATATATATATATATCGTCATCCACAGACAGAATGTTTCGCTATATTACAGCTTATCAGTTTGTCTAGGCATCCGATTGATGCTCAATCGGAGATTTTACACCTGAGCTATCAGCGCCGGATAAAGATGAAGGTGAAAACAAAGATTGTATAATATTATTAACAAACATTGTATTTCAGCCAAAAATTGAAATTTATGTAATGTCCTCTAAGAATTAAATGATATCTGTAAATAAATTCAGTTTACTATCTTACTCACAGATAAGCATTTTTGAAAAGCTCTGAGTTGGGGAGATAAGGTTTAGACATTTCATCTTATTTGTTTAAAGAACAAAAGTTTAAAAAGGTTACAATGTGATCAGTCCTGTAATTATTCCTAGAACTTGTTCAAGAGTAAAGTAAATTTGCATAAAAAGAACCCAGATGAAAAAAAAAAGTTATGTAAACAAAAAATTGTTTAATACAAAAATGTAACATTCAAAACTAGTGAACAAATATTCCAATTTGTAGGTGACTTTCAAAACAATGCAATAATTTTGCTCGAATTATGGCCACATTTCAATATAAAAAATATTCCTTATTCGTCTGCAGCATTGCTTTCCTAAAAAAGCCGTTGGAATGTTAAGGAAACCCTGAAGCGCCGAGTTGTTTTACAAAACTCAAGAGATGAAAGTTCCTCTTACTGCAAATGAGTAGATTTAATCATGTATTTCTAGAATATTTAAGTTTTATGACGCTACTGACTCTCTGAAGTCGCCGGAGTCTCTAAATAGGTTAAAAAATTCCTCGTTTGAATCGGACGATATAAAGGTTCTCTATGGTGAATCATCGAAATCCGAACAAACATTAGACTATCGAAAGAAAGGTTTTATTCAGGTGCTGAGAATTGGAACAGTTTCGTTAGCAACAAAGAATAGAACGCCAGATTGCTACGTGATATCCAAATTCTTATATGGCACTGAATGATGGACAATCTCCTCACATATGTTGGAGAAAAACAGGGACAACAAAAGTGTGGTTCTACATAAGGGTACAAACAATTCCATGGACAGAACTCTGAAAATTTAATTTTCTCTTCTACTCAGAATCAGGAAAGGAGATGAAATTCTGAAGACACATCTAGAAGAATGATGGGTTAGAAAACTGGACATAAACAGAGTGTCCCCAAAAACTTGACTCTATTTTGTATTTTAATAACTGTTGTGGTGTTCTCCCTCTAAGAGTCTATATTAGACTCTTCCCCCTACTATAAGTTTAGTAGGAGAGAAGGTTCGGGGAACAGTGCACAGTGAATGGAAACAGTGTTCTAGCCTCTTCAACTGTCAAACTCTCTGCCTTGAGCAGAGACGAACCCGTACGAGGCTTTGCCGAAGGGCAAAGTTTCGTCCGGGTGGTAGACAGACCCTGAAACCGTTTATACGGGTTCGAAGGGAATATTTTTGGCCGAGCCTACGGGCTCGGAGAACCACGATAAACTCGGCCTTGTGCCACATACATCCCTCGTGGTGGGGGGCTGTTAAATATAACAGTGTACAGTGAATGCATTGAGTGCTAGTTCATTCGATACACTCTCACTTGTCGTGTAATACTCTTCTGGTGTACTCATTGTTTAATATATGATATATCTGCAAACCTAGTTTTTGTTATTACTTAACCATTTACTTTGTCACAACATATGCCAAAAAAAAAACCCTTAACTGTTTTCGTCCTGATGTTAAGTATTATTTTCATTTTTCTTTCCATTT